CATTACACAAACCGAAACAATCATATATTTACTCACCGCTTGGCCAAAGATTCTAAATTTCATATCCACAAGATCTTGAATACCCCTTGAACTTTTCGACATTTGCTGAACGGCTATATGTGTAAAATACTCTTTGTATTCAAGCGCTTTCGTGTAGAAAGTTTCGTATGTATACGCCGACTAGAAATATTTATCTTGAATTTTTCAAGATGTCGGGTTTTACTCGCACTTGCGTACATTGCGCAATAATTGGCCATTAAGAAGCTCCTTTGGCCGGGATGACGTCAAACTCACGCGTGTAGGTGCAATTTGACCTTGCGAATGCATTTCTGGCCTTTCCAGGGTCATACGATACAAACGTCGCATTGTTTTGACGGTTACAGTCGTATTTCCGGTTGGGATTAATTCACTTCGAGCTCACAGTCGGACAAGAAATGAAATATATTGATAAAAGATACAGATTTGTAGATTCAGGGTTGCAAATAACACTACAAAAACACTATTTAATGGGGATTCGAACAAGAGTATTACAAAGACGATATGTTTGAAGGGGCCGAAGTTATTTTCGTTATTTTTGTTCAGACAATTGCGTAATTTGATACAATATTACCGTGTTTGACTTTCAAAGGCCCATAAATCGCTACAATGTTGATAATGACTATAACTATACGGGGGAATTAGTTGAATCTTTTATTTCTGAATCGAATGGTGGTATTTCTGTCTTCATAGCATGCACTGAACCGAATATATGAAAACACAAAGCCGTCACCCGCTAGAGGATGACGAAACTGGCTTGTGATGCAAAAGAGTTTTAAAACTTTTTTAGATTAACCTTTTTTTTTGAAAGTCTTCAAAATTTATGTTCTCGTGTCAAAAACAATATTTCACTCGTGAGATGTTGTTTTTGCCACTCGAAGATAAAATCCATATCTCCTCGCAACCGTCTAATATCCTCTATAATATAATATATAATTTTATTGATTCTTGTTCTCTTCTTCTTTTTTTAATGGCTTGTTTAGATGCAAACGATTCAAGTATTCGCAAGTTTTCTCGAAAATCTCACATAAAATATTGTAGGCTTTTTTAGCGTGCAAGTCATTTCTTGCTTGTGGTATCTTTCCAGCAAAATTCATCCAAAACTCATCTAAATAAGTCTCTACTGTCTGCAAACATTGAAAAAGATCGTTTTGGTCAAAATTTCCTTTTTCAACACCTCTCTCGAAGGCCTTGAAACATCCTGATACACAGGGCTGATTAAAAAGAAAGTTCGCCCATTCCAGAATATCTGGTTCCTCGGAGATTATTGCCTCAGTAATTAAGGAAAGATTGAAACGCATATCTGATATTTTCTCAGCTATTTCTTTTCCATCTTCAATTTGCTCCATTAAGTTGTACTTTGGCATGAAATACATCGGCAAATTACTTTCCTTTAAAGCAATTATCAAGTCATCTATAAGTGAAAGTAGATGACCGACTATGCTTTCCTCCGTCCAGTCACTTGGATCAGATTTCTCGCAATACCAGAGCACGATTGTTTTAAGATGATAGGAGCAAATGAGTTTCTTACCATTAGGGGCCAATTCATTTTTATAATGGCTAATGAACGACTTGAAGGCGCGATATGTCTTGTGTTGCAGATTACTAAGATTTTGGATAAGAACTACTTCAGCGTTGGAATAAGACAGCCGGAAATTTCCTTCTGACGAACTTTTCAAAACAACATGGAAACCGTCTTTGATAATTTTCTGAATGATATCTTGATTTGGCCAGCATCTTGGTCTAGATAACCACTCCTGGGCACTTAATGGCCATCCATTGCACTTGATAGCAAGGACAAAATCGTATTCCCCAACTGGGAACGGCATACGTTTTGGTATTGACCATTCCTCCCAATTACCAGGTAGTTCAGAACTAACCGCTAATGAGGGTCCTTCGTCAACTTTTTCAACTTCTTCTTTGCCAAGAGGCATACAGAATGGTCCGTATCTAATGTAATTTTCTCTAAATCGCTCTTTTAGCTTACGTGACGAAAGCTTGGTACTTCTTTCACACGTTGCCATACTTGATGCTTCTATGAAATCTGCCCACATTTTAATATCATCTTCATCCGTTAAGTACAAAGTCACAAATGGTGTATTTTCTTTTGTCATAAGGTTTCCTTTCCGTTGTTCTTCTTCACTGACTTTGATGTTCTTTAATATAAGCATTAAATCCATATCTGACATTGATTCCTTCTTTAAAACTATCTTCAACATACCTTCACTAATACTCCCAGAGATTAAAATGTCTTCTAGTTGAAAAGGCGCTTCGCTGTCGAAATATCTGTTAGCTGAATAGAACAGATGTTGATCAATGAGATCACAAAAGCTTTTATAAAGCTCGTTTCCTAAATCAAAATCATCAAATTGAAGTTTCGCCATCAGATGCGAATAACGTCGACATCCTCGTGGGTAGGCAATAATATTTAAGATTGCCTTCCGCAGCCTGGTAACAATCCCTGTATCAGCTTGAGCCATAACCTGCAAGTGCACTAAAAAAGAAAGCAATTAAACTTCAGACATGCATGGACATGCTGCAAAATGCTGACAGTTATTAAGATATAGTATAAATACATTGCATGTTTTGCAAATGCTATGACAGACAAACAAAATCAGGAAAATTTTCAACTTTATATAAGAACTGTTCTCAAGTTGCTGAGAGAGAAATGTTTTCTATCAATTAAAAAAGATTGATGATTTCTTATATTTTTAAATAGCCTGGCCAGAATTTCAAGATCATGATGAGCCCGCTATATCCAAGCTATGTATTTAAGCGTCTTTTCGCAAGAAACGTGTTTAACACTTAACTAAAGCAGAATCTTTAATTGACTACAACGACGATATAAAGCGATCCTCCCGGTAAAATGGCTACATCGTTATCCCTGTTTATCCCAAGGCACTGATAGAAAGCCTGGGTCCTGTACTGTAAGTTTGTTGTTAATACCAAATTAAAAAATGATAATAATATTTAATCCTTATATAGCGCAAACTAATTAACATATAATTTTATAATCCAATGATTTTTTTTGCAATGTCATACAGCCTGTGCATGACAAGGATTTTAAAATAAAATATCAATATTTTACCCGTAATGTGCATGGAACCGGTTAGCAACATGAATTCCTCTGAAATTACCCGGGAAACCAGACCACGACCCCACAAGCTTGCAGCTTTAAACATTATCGTGTTAAAATAAAGATTATCTATCTATCTATCTATCTAACATCATATGTATTTGACGAAGCGAACTAGTGAAAAATTTGACGAAACTGCTAATTATGATTTAAACCCATGTATAGGATATTTGTGTTTATACCTATATAATATTTCCGCCATATTCCGACCATGTTATTCGATTACCTTTAACTATATCAATCATTTAAGTATAAAAACCTGCATACTAACTACGCGTTTATATTACAGTATATTTATCAAGTTTTACAAATCATATATGATTAGCGGATATTTTCCAAAAAGCTGCACAATACCTGAAAAAATTTGAACAGTGATGATACTTGTTGAATATATTAGTCGGAGGTTGTTCAATGACAAAGCTTATAATGATTAAACTCACTGATACTTATAAAGAAAAGTAGTTCTATATGTACATCTTGCCATATCTGCTCACATTTTATATACTAGCTTAGAACCGAAATAATATATGTATAGCAAACGAAAATGAAGTCTCAGCATGAATGAGTCCCAATTCAAAATTAATAAAATGTATTGACTGCACAATTAGAAGCCTATTTTTAAATTTGATTTTACTTTAGTTTCTACCGCATTATATATTTATAATAACTCTGGACCGACAAATCTTTTATTTAATTAAGTTTCAGCATGAATGAGCTGAGGGCCAATTCAAAATTAATCGAAAATATCTCAGCATATAATTAGACGTCTATATGTGCCTATTTTAAAATTTGATTTTAGTTTAGATTCTATACTGCGTTATTATCTATTCTTTTTAACTCTGGACCGACAAAAGTTTTTCTATTTAAATTAAGTTTCAGCATGAATGAGTCGCAATTCGAGATTAATCGAAAATATGAGTGCGAATTAGACCATGTATGTCCGTGCCCATTTTAGAATTTAATTTTACTTTAAATTTACTGCGTTATTATCTTTTTAACTTTGGACCGACAAATTTCTATATTTAATGAAATTTCAGCATGCAATGAATCCCAATTCAAAACCGATTAATAAAAAATATGACTGCACAGTTAGACCACGAATTTGATTAACTTGTCATTTTTTGGGAGAATAAAAGTAATTGATACTAGTCACAAATATTGGAAAGAAGTATCTTGTATTTCTCACAATTAAAGTATAACTGGCCTTCTTTGTGAGGATCGGAAAATAATTTTATAATCTGAGGTCGGTTGTTCGAAATGCGTTTAAAGACATTGGTAGCAAAAAATTAATCGAAAATATGATTGCGAATTAGACAAGTTGTCTCATTCCAAAAAAAACTGTTAAAATTGTATAGTAAACTCTATTATACCGATTTGCCATATCTTTCGTAGTTCTCGAAATATTTAGAGCGAAATTAATAAGCTGTCCGCCATCTTAGACTAATTCTTGTCCTCATTAATTACCTATTGTTTTGATGACGTCAGGAGTTTGGGTTAACCATATCAAACTACTCTAAAATGACCGAGTAACAATCCAAAATTGTTTGAAATGTTTTTAATCATTTCTAAATTTCAGATAGCAACCGGAAACGAAGTTTTGGACCCAATTATCCCTTACTCTCAAGATAAGAAATTAGCGTGATCCATATCCTCAATAATCCAAGATTGCGAACAGCTTTCACTATCCGCCGGATAAGTTTAAACAATCGGAGGGGGGGGGGGCCTGGGGGCTGCAGCCCCCAATAATTTGCTAATAATCATTCTTTTTTCAAAATCATGCAGACCTTTATCATTTAAATAATAAACCTTTAAAATACTGAACACTGATTAGTTTTAAGCGGCTACATTATCCATGACAAACTGCAAAGAATGAAGATATTATAGTTAATTAAACACGCCTTAATTCGCCCATTTAGTACTACTAAATTGAAAATTTCGACAAACTAAAACGCTGTTTTCTGAAAAAAAATTCAGAATTCTGTCAACTCTTCCCCTGCAAAGTCCATGAAAACCCATTTCAGAGACTCAAAATCTTTCCTCGGTCCTTGCATTGGCCCTCGCTTTCAGCAACCCAATTAAAAAGAGCTTGCTGCGGCACTGGCTTGATAAATTGCGTTGCGCCCTGGTTGCACAAAGCCGTTTATGATAAAACTAAATTCGAAATCAGCAAATGATCTTTGTTTTTCGCTTTACAGAAATGAAAATGCTGCTATCCCCACCACGAATAACTCCAGCAAACGTGATTAACACTTTTAATTTTGTTTTCCATATACTTTATTTTTAAATTTAGTTCCTTTGCGGATGGACAATATAAAGCAATTGTGTTATTTAGAATCCCAAAACACAAAAAAACTAGCCACAAATTCCGTTGCCTATAAACCCTTTTTAAAATTTTACTCAAACATTTGGTAACTGAGTGAAACTACTCACAGGTGTAAGAACAGTTTCAAATTTGATGCCATTGTGTCATTTTGTATAATTTTACATGCTGCATAAGTCCATCTTCCATTCAATCAGGTTTATGTTTTAAATATCGGCACAATTTTACGCCTAGAGGCACTGTTACACTATGCAACAGTTCCAATGTTATGACAATTATAAACGATTTCAACATTGCATTAATTGCAAGCGATGTTACACCAAGCAATATATTTCGTGCAACATACAATGATCATATAGTTAAAATTAAAGCATAATCAAAGGCCGTTAGCGTTGAGGCCGACTGGGATCAAAGGAAAGTGACAGGAAAAATTAGAGCAGTTTGCAGTTGTTTGTGCAAATAGCACCGTGCGAATTTTCCCATTTGTCGTGCGTCTTTTGCCAAATCAAATGAACGAACGCGTACTCCAGTTCGATTTCCGGTTCTTAAAGGCCCGATTCGTAGACAAACAGTGCGGCAAAGCAGGCAGTGGCGGCGCCAGGGGGGGGGGGCAAGGTGGGGGAGGGGGGGGGGGGGGGGGGGGGGGGGGGGGGGGGGGGGGGGGCAAATGCCCCCCCCCAATTATTTTTTGCCCCCCCCCAATTTTTTGCCCCCCGCCCCTCAAAAAAAATTATTAGTCACTAAGAGCGACTAAAGGCTACACAAGCGTTCTGTCGTTATCGGAAAATGTATGGCTTATAGGTTGTCATTATCATTAGTGAATGCGCATATACATGAAACTGTTTTTTACAGTTTCAATATTAGTTTGTAAATCTCTGAATGGTAAAACTTGCCAATACTCCAATAATACGTTTCAAAAAAATACAAAAAGCTTTAGTTTTGCAGAGTTAAATTCTCAAACGTGTAAGGCAATAATAAGATGAAAGTATCACGAAATTATTTGAATAAACCACATCGCATATATGGGGGGGGCGAATGTCCTAAAGAGGGGCGATATTCCTAGGGTATTCGCCCCACCCCCTGAGAGGCGATATTCCTAGGATATTCGCCCCCGGGGGCGATATTCCTAGGAATATCGCCACGTTTTGAGGGGGGGGGGGGCGAATTTCCTGGGGGGGCGACCTTTTTAAAAATTCCATCTTGCCTCCCCCAAATTTGAGTTTGCCCCTCAAATGCCCCCCCCCCAATTTGGAAGCCTGGCGCCGCCACTGAGCAGGCTGGTCATTTGCCATTGTTTAACTGCCCCACACTCAAGTGTGCAACATCCGTGAGTCAAAAACTGCGAGTGCTAACGTTTAGCGCAAAATTGACAGCCAAGCTAAATAAGTCATTACCTAACAAATTGCAAGAGAGATGTCACACTTTGCAATGCTTTAAGAAATGTATCGCAATGTTGCCGCAATGATACCGAAAGGTAGAACCTGATTCTACTTCGTGCAATCCTTGTTGCAACAAACTTGAGACTTGATGATTGGGGACGCATGTTACAATTTTCAATTCCGCGTGCAACTTGTGTCGCAATTATTTTGTTGTCGCAACATATTGCGAGACAAGTACGTTACATAGTATAACAGCGCCTTAGAAGTAAAGTGTACACAGTTTCAAATATGTGCAAGACGCAGAAACTAAGGAGGGAACAAAATTTCGATTGGATGAAATAGTTGTTAAAACAGATCCGTGTAAATCTTAGCCTATACGTGTAGCCTACGTGTAGGCTATGATTGTTATAGAAAAGATCGAAACTGTAATGGAGGCGGGTGTGCATGCAGTGTTCATTAATTAAGGGACCGGTCATTATTTATGGTGGGGGGTGGCACCGAAGAGAAAAGGGTTGGGTAAGCTAAATTTTGAGTAAGTAAAAGGTTGGGTAAATGAAAAACAAAACAACTCAAGGGTTGGGTAATAAAAAAATATTGTCATTTCCAAAGCATGACTTGCTGAAGTATTG